GAGAGAGAGAGAGAGAGGAGAGAGAGAGACAGAGATCAGCTGGGCAGTGCTTTATTGATATATTTACAATGTTAAAGCAATTTGGAAGTCTACCAGTGTCTCTTATCATCATATTAAAATTAATTCTAAATATCTATGTGTGTTGATATGTGCTTTCGGTTTTCTTCTCACATGCTGGGTGTGTGATGGGGGGATGTGGGGTTTGTAGGAGGGGGGTGAGCAGGTGTGTTGGGGAAGGAGTGTGGGTGGGTGTGGAGGGATGTGGGTCAGTGTGTGGCTAGGTGTGGGGCAACTGCGGGGGGACTGTGGGTGTGGTGGGACCTTGTAAGGGGACTGCTCAGGAGGGGTGTGTCCCCTGGCCCCCACAGGGTGCAGCCCCACCACACAGCACATGGACTGCCCCCCCTGCAGGGCGCTAGCTCCACCCTGAAGGGCCACAGCCCCCCCGGCAGGATCCCAGGAACCCTGCAGGGCCACAGCCCCACCCTGTGCAGGGCCCACAAGTTACTCCCTGCAGCAGCAGCGGGAGTGGGGTGCTCAGAGCCTGCTGCTGCCAGTGCCCCCACGGTGCAGCATGGCCCTGAGCAGCTCAGAGCCAGCACTGCTTGTGCCACTCTTTGAGGACTGGCACAAGCACTCTCAAAGTGGTACCACTCACCAGTGTGGGGGGCAGTTGCCACTCGTGGGGACTGTGTGTCCTGCAAAGCCAGGCCCTGCCAGCACTGGGGTGGCTTGCACCACCAGGCTGGGTTGGTTCCAAGGTGGCAGGACCCCGCGAAGCATGCAGACACAGTGCGCCGAGCCCGGGCCCTGCCAGCATGGGGACTGCTCGCACTGCCAGGCCAAGCTGGTTCCATGGCGGCAGGACGCAGCTCAGCACAACACAGTTCCTGCGCGCCCCTCTGAGTCCTGCCACCATGGAACCGCCACGGCCTGGCAGCATGAGCTGCCCGGACCTGGCTTGGCTCAGCACGCTATCCCTGCATACTGCGCTGGGTCCTGCCTCCGGTGGCAGTGCTGCTTGCCCCATGGTGCCTGCAAGGAGGAGGCACGCAATGGGACCTGGCCTGGTGTGGCTACGGCTTTGCACCGGAGTGGGACACACAGCTCTGGGAGGCGTGGCTCCTGTGCAAACGCATGCTAGCTGTGCGGCCCGGTCCGGATCGGTTGGTTTGGGCCAGTAGGGTATGGGGCTATGGTTCTGCTGCAGGTACAGTGGGTGGCAATGTGGTGCTTTGTGACCCGGGCTCCGTACATGCTGAATGGATCCAGCCTGGCCTATCCAAGGCCATGCACTAGTGGGCAGGGCCGGGGCCATTCAGCATGTCTGGCCCGGCTTTCACAGTTCTGCATTACTGCCCACTGTGCCTGCAGCAGA